CCTAGGGTCGAGTAGGCATGTACCTACATATTATCATACTGTACCGCACACCCCCAGGCAAGACTAACAGAAAACACCCGACCCCGAACAATTAACGTTATCTCCATCCATGCCTCGAGCCAATGACCCCAGGAGCCATACGCAGTCTAGTTGTCATCCTGGCGAGACGGGTATTCTGGAGAAGAAACACACAATGGCCGATCTCTGACGGAGGAGACGCCGCTCCTGACTAGGCAAGGTACGCCAGCCAGCCTGAAGCACATATATCACAAAGGGAGATTATCCCATGAATAGGCGCTCCTCCAGCCCTTGAGAGGGAAGTACCTACCTTGGAGATGCTTGAGATATCTTGACTTGACACATATCCAGGTACATACCTCAGTATGCCTCTGGGTTTCTCCATCCCGTGCCATGTCCTCTTCGTTAGAGATTCTCCAAACCCATCCAGCACCCCACCATCCACTGCGGGGAAGCACAAGGACAAAGACACGCTGTTGTGCCCTGCCAACCCTGCAAGTCCCCAGGCGAGTTTGCGGGCGGCTTCCCCTGCTATGACCACCACCTCTCCTCCTCTCGCCCTCATCACCCGCCTGGCGCCCGAGAGCTCTTAAGAAGCTCGCAACAAAAACTCTCCGATGTTTCCGTCCTTCACTGTTTTGTTGGAGGCGCACGTAAGAGCAAGGGTCGGCTTAGTGCATGGCATCAGATCAGTGAGTGTATCAGGTGCTCGAATAAGCCCTTTCACAAACTCCTGCTGCCAGTAACACAGCGGGCCGTGCAGCCGGGGGTGTTGGCCTACGGAGCTTTAGGCAGGGCCGCCCTGGGCCAGGCACGCCTAAACCTCGGAGAAATACCGGTGCTGCAGAGGTGCAGAAATTCCCCTTCGGATATTGTGCTCTGTTTCGCCTAAGGGGACCAGCGCTGTCTGACTGCCCAATGCGTCCGACCGACACTCCGTCCCAGATTTTCCAGTGCCGCCGCTCCGGCGCTCCTCCAAGCGCCTGGGGACCTTTTTGTAGGGCACATGGCCCAGCCCAGGGGGCGCTTTCATGTCGACTCGGGAGAACCTCGGCTGCCAGCGCGGTGAAGCACCAGCCGAGCGGGAGTCCGTTTCCTAGACAGCTCCCGTAGAGCCGCCTGTTGTAACTCGCTTGCGCAGCTGCGAGAGAGATATCACCATGTAATATGGGCTTATTTGCTTGTATTATGATTATAATGTCATTTCTCATTGACCCTTTTCGGGACCATTATAATTACCAAGCTAACCTACCGGCCGGCGCTTTTTATAATCCGTGAAACGCCTCGAGCCGCTTGCTCACCGGCAACGCTCTCCGTTTCAGTGGAAACCTCCTCCCCTTCCGCTCTCATATCATACAATCCTGGCTGGCAGATCCGTATCCCCATGCCAGTTGATATCCTCTCGTCTGGGCAGGTGACGACCGTCCCGTCGGCCCCCAAGTCAGGTGCAGCCGCCTGCGCAGAAGGAAGGTATTTAGAAAGCGTGATTGTACATCAGCAATGCGTCCTGGCAAAAGTTCGGCCCGGCAGCCATTCATCGGCGGCGACTCTGCGTCAGACGGGCGAACATTGTCTCGACGGAACTTCAGACGGCTGCTGGATGCTCAGTGACGTGAAATATCCATCTGAACAGCTCCGCCGTCCTGATCGTCTCGATCCTGCAACTTCCTCTTGCCAAGACTAGAGTTTTCCGAGTCGTCATCTGCTTTCCACTCGACAATCTCCCACTCCACCCTGGCACGCCCGTCACGACTCTGTCGACTGCCTTTACTCGTATGCAGGCTGCCTAATATGCTACCCTGCATCATGGTGTCGAACCAGGGCAAGCCGGAGGTCTCGCGCGCCTCGTAGACTTCCTCCTTTGGCGCTGGGACAACAGCTTGTGAAGCCTCCGGTTCCGCCTCTTCCTCATCCGGAATCAGACCCAGGTCCTCCAGGTCGCTCAGATCTCGACGAGACAAACTGCCGAGTGCGAGCTGGATGTAGTCGGCCTCGCTTCGAGGCTGCTCGGACCAGTAAGACAGCGGGGTGCCGCAGAAGCCGCAGAAATGGCGTTTTGAGTGCTGTTCACTTGGACTTTCGTAGACTCTACGTATCATGGAGCTCGTCTCGTCCGGGAAGAAGGCGAAGGTCGCGCTGTGATACCACGCCAGGGGCACGCGGATGAAGGCCGCCAGCGGGGTCGCCTGCGAGTTACCTGGATGTTGCGCCTCGGTCAGCAGCTGCTTGCTTCTCGCCTCACAACCGGGAAGGGGTGAGACACATGACTTCACTGTCCTCTTTGAGGAAGATGACGGTGGTGACTTACGACGTGACGAATCCGTATCAAACAAGACCTGAGCCGAATCTGTAGCACCTTCTGGTATCTCGATGATGTACTTGTTCCGCCCGCAGCTGCAGCCGCCTCTAAGCGGATGATGTGAGCTCATTTTTGGCGATATGGAGGTGCCTAAGGTATCAATTGCAGAGGATTCAGCAGTCCTGAGAAGCCGAGCAAGAGAAAAAGATAAGTCGAGTGTTTGTGTTGCTGCAACAGGACGTGGCGATCAGTAATGCCAGGCGGATGGGTGATGCTCGAATTTCTAGGAGCTTCTGGGGGTGGTTCGAACACCGGGCCACTGTAGATCAGGCACCGGGAAGGTTTCTGATAGGTGCTTTTTGTAGGCAGCACCACCTGAAATACAGTCACCAACGCGGGGCAGATGGTGTGCCTCCAAAACCTTCCCGCTTGGTCTCGAGACGAAACTTCGTGATATCAGCCCTCACTTGAATCGCGTAAGGCGTAGATGGGATACAAGCATCCCTTCAGGTAGCTGCTCAGGTAATTCTGGCCGGGGCAGAAAGAGCGTTCAATGACCTTGATTTGAATGTACGCGCATCGCATCAACCTATGGCATGTACCCTCTCTAGAATACAAAAATAGTATCTACATCGACCTCACATTTTCACCATGTTTTCTTCCTCTAGGTATGAGAAGCCATTATGTGTGGCTACATCACGGTGCCTACTACTTTCAAGAAAATTCTACTCCCGCTATTAGATCTCTACAAAGCTATACTAGTTGTGCCTTCATCTTCGTAACATGAGCAAGCTCAAGATACAATGAAAAAGGACTTCGCGTCACTCGGAGGCAGTG